TAATAATACCTACCTCACTCGCGCCAGAATCAACCATTGATTTTGACAAAATTATGAAAGTGAGCTTGTCCTCATCTGCGCGCCAAGTGCGCTGCATTTCGTACTCCTCATCAAGAGACAACCTCTCGGATCCAGTCAATCTATAACTTTCTAAAACTTGAATTACGTTTTTCATCTATGTAAGTTGCAAAAGTTACCTAACTTTTTATTTATAACTAAAAGACCTATTAACTGATCTGGTCAGACCAACTTGACTCTTTACAGTTTTGCGGACGTTTAGGGGTTCACTTGCGCAGTAGTGGTCATTACGTACCAAGATTTCTTAATGTCAGAAAGAAGATAAGGATATGACCGTGAAGAGCAGGGAGCAAATCGAATGTCTCCAAGCATGCTGAAGCATGTATCACATGAAACTGGCTGCGAAGAGGAAAAACGCTAGATTTTGAAAGGGGATTGCTGCCAAATGAAAACCGCTTCAAACAAATTCTTCCCTCAAAACTCATCAAGTAAAAAAACGGTGCACATATAAATTTGAGTCTGAGGTGTTAATGAAGTTAGAAAGAGAACTGGCAGCCCACCTTCTTATCTCCTCATCCTCCATCCAATCATGGTACTTTGGTACATGATGTTTTTCATATGGTACTAGTATGACATTTTCTCCAATTATTTTGACATTTTCGTTTAACCTCATTCTGAAAATATGTAATAATAGTTCCCCGCTTTTTGAGATCTACTCAATAGCGCTGAGAATGAATATTGGTGAATATAAGATATCGACTACAAAAGGTGAAGATATGATTTTAAATGACTATAGTGGCACTAGCATTTTCAAGTTAAAAAACTGTGATCGCTTTCATTAGGACTTTTAAGCATGCTAATTTGCAGTAAAATAAGATTTTCATAATACCGCTCATTTTAGAAATTGCCCGTGGGGAAAATTATTTCCATAAACTAAGTTGGAGCAGAGTGCATAGGTTGCCCGATAAGAATTCGCGCCGTTTCTTTTTTCACAAGATATTCCAAAGAGGAATCGACAACGCATAATCACTTGAAAGACGACGTTTTCCTATATAAGGTAGTGTAATACATGGCTTGCCCATTGATTTCAGTTCTGCTAAATCATTGATTGAAATCCAGGGAAAAAACAGTTTATAGCTTTTTCGGGATGCGAGGCATTGCAGAGTTCACAACACTACTGAAGGGCCATTGGTTATGCTATTTACGAAAGTTATATTCATTTCCACGATAGAGCCAATCCGTACAATTTACGCAAAGTCAATTTTTCCTTCTCAACAGATAGGTAATTGACCTTTCAATCGCGTATTTACGCTAATTCTAAGTGAGGGCTTATTTTGCAATGCGGGTACGAT